TCGGGTACGACACGGACCACCGAGACCCCCGTGTCGTACACAGGTCACCTCCGAGGCCTCGGCAAAGAAGGCCTCGGCACGATCAGCTCCAGCACCCGCTAGGCCTCGGCACTCCACCAGGACAAGAGTCCACCAGGCATGGCATGTCACCTACAGTGGAGGCCATACTGACTAGATGTCAACAAGGACTCTTACGACTTCAACAGCCTCGAGCATGGCCTGCGTGATGCACCGGTGATCAAGTACCAATTGCCATTCCCGACACTGTGCTGCTACAGGAATAGGCCATAGTACTGGATCTTCCTTTCTCGCTAAGGCTCCACGTGTAGCTCTCTCATGTACTCCTGGCTCCCTCCTTATGGCTATAAAAGGAAGCAGCCAGGGCTGTTTCTAGGGATCGAAACCATGCCAACCCTCACGCAAAAACGCACTCACTCAATTCACGCGCGCTCCCACGCTGCCTGAGAGCAACGACTCAAGCAGCGCGCACCATTCCACGCTGAGACCTGGGACTAGCTCCCTCTCTCACCTAGCTTGTAACCCCCTACTACAAGCACTTTGGTGCAGAGAATACAAGATCGATCTTCTAGACTGGACGTAGGGCGCCGATTGCCTGAACCAGTATAAACCTTGTGTCTCTTTGCATCACTATCCGGGATTAGGGGCACGCAGTTCACATTTACTGGTTGGTTGAGGACCCCCGGTCCGAAACGCCGACATAACTAAATAACTAACTATAAACTAAATAGTAAATACCTAATCAATCCCTAAATCCAAAATACTAACCTCAAACCTAAAAACTACCTACGTAAATCACAAACAAATTCACTAACCTAACTATCCGAAATCACTAACTATCATAAATCAATAACAATCATAAAACCCTAACTATCCTATATTACTAATTATCCTAAATCACTAATTATCCTAAAACAATAATAATCAAAATAACATGAAATCGAGAGAGATGTACCTTAGGAGCGGGCGGCCTTGACGCGCCGGCATTCGTGGTGCGGCATGCTGGCGCTTCGCTGGAGGAGTGGCCAGGCTGGCTGTGGCACGTGGCGTGGTAGTGGCGTGCGTCATGGCGTTGGCGGGCGGAACACGTGGTGGCGGGCGGGCGGGGGGGGGGCTCGCTCGCGATATTTATTTGGCCCAGCCGCGCCATGCTCCGTGGCGCGGCACTGCCGCGCCAAGATCGGTGGTGCGGCAGAGCCCTACCACGTCAACGATCGCGATTCTGGTCGTCGCCACGTCAGACCTCTGCCGCGCCACCATGCATGGTGCGGCACAGGCATTTGGCCGCGCTAGGGCAATAGGCGCGGCCAAAAGTGTTAGTTTAAAAAAAACCGACCATGTTAGATTTAAAATTAATTTTCAAAAAGTGTTCAAATTAAAAAAAAAATCTCTTCCTCAGCGCCGGCTCCCTCCACCTCCACTGCGCTCCCTTTAGATCCACCTCCACCTCTGGTGCCGCCCTCCACCTCCACCCCCTGCCGGCCCCTCCACCTCCACCGCGCTCCCTCCGGCCGACTCCCTCCACCTCCACCTTCGGCGGCGTAGCGTGCGGGACCCGGCTAGATCCAAGGAGACAGCGAGCGGGGTCCAGTGGCGCTTCTCCCCAGTGCAAGCAGATCCGGCAGCGGGCGCCTCTTCCGTCAACGGCACGGCGACAGTAGCAGACGCCTCTTTCGGCAACGGCACAGCGAGCGGCGGGTCTCAGATCCGGCTGCCGTGGCTCGGATCCGGCGAGGAGCGCCCAGATCTGGCGAGCGGCGGCGGCGGAGCGTCGTTGGGCTCGACGGGCCTCGTGGATGGGATCGCCGGGCAGGTGGGCATTTTGACCGTCTCCGTTAATAGACATTAACGGAGGTGGGCTTACTAGGATGTCCGCCTCCGTTAATACGTTAACCGAGGCGGGCAATTAAAGCAACAGTCTCCATAGATCTACATTAACGCAGACCTTTGGATGGAGGCGGTTGTGTTGCCCGCCTCTGTTAAGCGAAAAGGCCCGCCTCCAAATAAAAATTTCCGTAGTAGTGTTACTACACAGCTGACAAATAGTTAGCGATAATATAGGAACATTTTTCAAGAATTTACTCCTCTCCCTGGATACACATAGGACCCAGCCAGCCAAGCGGCTTTATTACATTCTCGTCCTTTAAACACATATGACCCAGCCAGCCAACTAACGGTGTATTCTATAGTACCATACACCAAGTCGTGTACGTAGCCTGTAGTCTTTTAACCAATCAAACGTACTTGCAGAAACCGCTGGGGTTCCTCATCATCGATCCCCTGGCCGAGGACCCGGCGCTCTCCTCGACCTACGGCGTGCCGTGACGGCGACGGGGCAGAAGAAACGCGCGCCGATTCGTCCCCGGTGCGACTCCCCGGAGACCAAATCAGCCTGAAAAACGCCTACTTCATCGAACAGTTGAACTGATCGATGGTCCGACCCCGTCCAAAGTTTCCACTTGATGGCCATACAAGTATCCCATCATTAGGCAATTGCAATTAGCTGATGGGATCATGGGAAAAAGTCGTTTACGCATCAAATCACGCTGGCGACCAAGCCGTCCCCTGTTTCAGAGCGATAGAGTGCATGCATCAATGCATGTGTGTACCAATTGCCAAAGCAGGATAACGATTGGGTGCACTGACACTGATTGAGTTCTATGCATGACATCTTCCTCTCTGAATCCAACGGGAAAACAAAAAGGTTGTTATGACATCGTCGTCTTGTGAACTGGTTTTCCCCAAAGGAGAAAGGAGCGAAATCTGACTCCCGTTTTCCTTCCGATCCGATGGAGCGACCTTTTATTTTCCAGCAGAACGTTGGAGCAAGCACTACGGGAGTACATACAGACTCTGTAAAAAGTTACGGCTCGTTCCAACTGCTCCACCACTAATCTGGATGATTATTGTCAGCGATAGAATTGGCCTTTAGTTAGTCCACCGGATAAATAACAACGTGAGGAAACGGTCTAAAGTTCTTGCTATCTGACAGTGTGAGCATAATCATAGAAATAACGGCTTGATCTTTAGCCCCTGTAGTCAAAAAATAAATCAATCAATTTTTTCCAAGTGTTTTGAGGTGCCATCAACATCTATCTAGCTAGTTAATGTTCACCACTGAATTAACTTAGAAATTAACTGACCAAGAGTGATTCCTCGGCACCTTCAAGACTTCGTAGAGCTGGAAACTCAAGCTTTTAACTTTTGAACTGAAGCTTGCAATTTGAAACACAATTTCCTGTGCGATGTTTGCAAATTTCAACTCAGCAGAGTAGGAAACTGATCCACAAGCTACGTAGTAAGCTTCACAGCAACGGAACCATACTAGTGTTTCAGGCTTTGCAGTTTTCCAACCAAATGCCATTCCTGGACTCGTTGATTTTTTTTTTAAAAAAAAATAAACACCAAGTTCTTAATCTAGTAGACTCTAGTCGTCAGTGACAATAATCTATTTTTTCCTTAAAAACTTGCCAATATGCCTATTTGAAAGATAGTTTAAAGTAACTACCTAAATTTATATCTGCATTATCCTAATTATGAAAAATTATAAAAAGTAATCACTAAATGTTTATTTAAATACTACTATCCTGTCTCAGAAAGAATGTCATTCTAGCTTTATTCAAGTCGAACCATTTTAAATTTAACAAAAAATATGTACAAAATATCGATATGATACTAAATATTAGTACATTCTGTTTTGGTCTCATAAATACTGATATTTTTCTCTATGAACTTAGTAAAATAAAGGATACTTTGCTTTTTTTTATCAAACTACAATGATATTCTTTGTAGGGCAAAGCTACTATATGACAATTATGCTAAAAATATGGACAAACGAGAGAATATAGTAACGATTATCTGGGCTCTAAATCTATCCGTGAATGTTTAATCTTATACCCCTTATTAAAAATTATTAACCCCCATAGATCGTAGAACACGCGTTGAGGCCAAACAATAAAGTACGCGTGATATAGTCACAGAGAGAACCAAAGTTTTGGCATATGGATCGGAATGGACATGTCATGTTCACATCATTGGGCGTCACAACCAACGGAGCTTTTTGTTATGATGAGAATCATATGATATGGTATCTCGTATCACAGGAAACACATGCTCGCATCCGTTCCCGTTCCCATATACTTTAAGCCGACACTGGACTGCAGAGGGTACGAAAGTACGCTAGCACAACGTACAAAAGAAACCCAGGAATAAGAAACGACGACAGAAGCAACGCCGAATCACGTACGCGATCCATGCAAACTGATCAAAAAAATGAACGAATTCAAAGCGTAGCCTTTAAACTATTCCCATCCCCTGTTCCTTGTGTCACGCTCGGGCCGAAAAACCTCCCCTTCTGGGAAGCTCCGTGAGAGTGATTTTGCTTTGTATTTACTGTAGAAAAAACATGATTTCACTATTAATCTTCGATATTTGTTCTAAATTTGTATTGATTAGCCCCAGGTGCTCATCTCGGCTCCACCGCTGGCCACAGCCCGAGCTCACACAGCAAGCTCCCCAGCTCGGTCTTCTCGCCAGGGACCCGGCAAGCAAGGCCGCGCGCTCTCGGCGTGCGCGAACGGACGGGCGTTAATCGTCGGCAGATCGAGACGACATGGAGCGCGCGCCGTTCTGCGAGAAGATGGGGCTGAAGAGGGGTCCGTGGACGCCCGAGGAGGACAGGGTCCTGGTGGCGCACATCGAGCGCCACGGCCACAGCAACTGGCGCGCGCTGCCCAAGCAGGCGGGCCTGCTCCGCTGCGGCAAGAGCTGCCGCCTCCGCTGGATAAACTACCTGCGCCCGGACATCAAGCGCGGCAACTTCAGCTGGGAAGAGGAGGACGCCATCATCCAGCTCCACCAAATGCTCGGCAACAGGTGCTTATCTATCTTGATGCCCCAATCAGCCACTTGTTGTCTCGTGAATTACGGCGAGAAATCAAAGAGCATGCGCACTAAACAGCTCATTTGTGTGTGATTTTCAGATGGTCGGCAATTGCTGCCAGGCTGCCGGGGAGGACGGACAACGAGATCAAGAACGTCTGGCACACTCACCTCAAGAAGCGCCTAGAGCCTACTAAGCCAGCCAGCCAGGCGCCCAAGCGCAAGCCCAAGAAGCAGCAGCAGCAGCAGCCGGAGGCCGTGCCGACGACGCTCGAGGGCCCGACGACCGGTGCCGTAGTGCCGGTGTCGCCGGAGCAGTCATTGTCCACGTCGACCACCAGCACCACCACTGACTACTCGGCGGCGGCCTCGTCGATGGAGAACGCGGACAGCTTCACCTCGGAGGAGGAGGAGGACTACCAGATTGACGACAGCTTCTGGTCCGAGACGCTGGCGATGACGGTGGACAGCTCCAACGACTCCGGGATGCAGGCAGAGGGCAGCACCTTCGGCGCGTCGTCGGCGGCGCCGTCGACCAACGAGGACGACATGGACTTCTGGCTCAAGCTGTTCATGCAGGCCAGCGACATGCAGAATTTGCCCCAGATTTAGGCAGGAAATGAACCTCGCCTAGGTGGTGGTTTCCTCTCGATCGACCGGCTGATGATATACTTGGCCTCACAATTCTTTCAATCTTTGTTCTGCTCCGTTTCGGTGGATGGATGTATATCTGACTGAAAACTTGTGCAGCGGAAAATAATTATGCTTCATCATGGCGGTGTTCACTTGTGTCCCTTTTCTGCTGTCATCTGTGCAGCTGTGCTTTCGCCGCAACCTTTATCCAGAGGGCCCCGGCTACATGACCACAAGTTCATAACCACCCAGCTCCGATCCCCCTTTCCTCCCTCTGCCCCTCGTCCATTTTTGCTGTCGAGACTAGGGTATATGTAGCAGCCGTCTCCGAGTCTCCATTCTCCAAGTAGCCGTGCCTCGAGCATGGCCGACATGCGCCATGCCGAGGCGGCCCTGCGCGTCTCCTCAGAACCGATGGCCGCAGCCAGAGCAAGTTGAGGAACTCTCCAACCGCTGTTTCTCTACCTCTGAGACTGATGGCCCACAGGTCACGGCCTCATGTAACCAAAAAAACTTGTCTTAAAAGACAATTATAACAATTGATGAATGTTTCACAATAAAATAAAATAAAATGTTTACTGGCTTTGAATGTCTGCGAAACCTCATGTGTCGGGGACCAATACTAGGGTACCCAAAGAGGAGGAGCTAATGATCACCGACGTTGATTCATCCGCGCGATCGAGAGCGCGGTTACGCCGCTTGCCGGGCTCCACCTCGCCCGACGTCTGAGGGCTGGCTCCGCCTCGCCCGACGTCTGAGGGAAGACTCCGTCTTGCCCGACCCATGAGGGCTGGCTCCGCCTCGCCCCGATTTCCGAGGACGGGCTCCGCCTCGCCCGACGTCCGAGGACGGACCCCACCTTGCCCGACGTCTGAGGGCTGGCTCCGCCTTGCCCGACGTCTGAGGGTGAGCTCCGCCTCGCCCGATGTCTGAGGGCGGGCTCCGCTTCGCCTGATGCCTATGATGACATTACCACCATACCGACCCAGGAATCAGGCGGAGCAGATAAGGCAAATCGCTCAAAGTCAACCACAATACCGAGGACCGTACCCTATACACCTACAGGACAGTGCCGTCAGGTCATGTTAGAAGGGTATTTTATAACCTTCTCGGCATGTCAGAGCCCAAACAGTGTTGTGGGCGTCGACATTTGGCTTACAGTGTTGTGGGCGCCGTCATTTACCCTCGAGCACGGACCCTTACGGAAGCTCACGACAATCGCTACGGTCCAGAAGAAAACTCGCATCGCCCGCAATAACGGATGTGAGGTCACTGTGCTGCCTGCTCCCTGCAGGGTCGCTGGTCAGCACGTTGGTCTAGCACGCCGCCCGCCGGAGCGAGATGGGACGTGACGACCCACTGACAATGCCAGGACATGGCATCATCAGCGGACAGGCGCCCGGCATAGCTCTGTTAGGATCAGTGGCCATGCGGCCGGTGTGGGGCTATCCCTGCCACCGCCTGCCATGACAGTGGGGCCCGCACAGAGGAAATGGAAGACCCAGCATCCTTGAAGGACTTCCTTTGCCTCTCGATTTACTCTTTTCTCCGGTCTGTAATCCGTGCTCTCCCTTGGCCTATAAAAGGGAAGGCAGGGAACCCCACTAAGGGGATCGATTCAACACACCACGCGTCACATCACACATAGCTGAGCAGCAACCAAGCTCTCAGCACCCATTCGACCTTTCCATCAGAGACTTGGGACCTTTCCCTCTCTCGCCCGTTTGTAACCTTTACTATGAACTTTTTGATGCTAATAACATGAGCAGCAGCCACGAACTGGACGTAGGGACATTCTGTCTGAACCAGTATAAACCTTGTGTCTTTTTAGCACACCATCCGGGCTAGACGCGCAATAACACAAATTTACTCGTTGGTGTTTACTTGAAACACCGACAGTTGGCGCGCTAGGTAAGGGACCTTTGCGTGTTCCGACATTAACATCAGGCCACAGATGGCTAGCCATGGTATCTGCTGGGTCCTGGGCGCACATGTGCGCTTCGGGGACCTAGACTTTATCATCACGGTAGGAGGAGAGTTGGCATTGGCTCATGCCACCATCCAACATCTCCCCTCCAATGGCCTCGACTGCGAGAGGATTGAGCGCCAGCTCGGCATCTCCCTGGGACCCCAGCCGTCCAAGGAGGACCCGCGTCGCCTCACCTTCTCTTACGCCAACAACATGGCGTGGCTCGCCAGAGGGGAACCCCTCTCTACATAACACCTCATACAGAGCGCCCTAACAGTGCTTCCATTCGGTCTCCGCAACGCCGCGGAGACCGTTAGCCACCTTGTGGCACAACGCATGATTCCACCTCCCACGAATGATGAATTTGTGGGAGTGATTGAGCACGTCGCGGAGTCTTTCCATGACCTCCTCACAGAGGAGCCAGAGTCACCCTCTGGCTCTGACTCTAGCAGGAGAAGCCATCACCTCTCTCGTGAATGCTTCATGACGGGTACCCCCGAGGGACATGTCGAAAGCATCCGCGAGGAGGAGGCTACCCCGGTGAACAACCTCAACGATGAGGCCGAGGGGGAGACAACGGCCCCACCTCACATGCGGGTGGAGCAGCTAAAACCCCGACACTGAGAGATCGAGGAAGCGTGGCTCCAGCTCGAGTAGGAATGCGTGGAGCTCGATCGGGAAATCGAGCGTCACGGAGACGGCGGGCGCACACGTGCCATGGCCCGTGACGTGTACCGAAGGATCATCGCCGATGATGAAGCCCTCCCTCATTTCATCCGGGCGAGCCAGAACATCGCCGCTGCTGCTGCCTTGCTCCATGGCCTTCGAGAGGCCACGACGCCCGAGGATCGTCAGGCCCACTGCGAGATTCTCACGCTGCTCGTGCATGCGGCGACGCAGCAGGCCGAGAGCTCGTTGTCTCGGAGATGCGAGCTCGATGCCAGCCAGCGCACGCCCTCAAAGCATCCTGATCGGGACGTGTCGGTCCACCAAGCGCCATAAAGCGGTGGGCAGCGCACCATGGTCCCGGTGCATCAGCGTCTCGGCCACAACCGTGATGCACGCAACACCCTCGACGCTCGTAGGCGTACCCACGATGATCCGAGAGAGGGGGCTAGCCACGGCTATCACCCTTGCCATGGCGGACGCTACGATAGCAGCGAGGACCGAAGCCCAAGCCCCGCTTGCCAGGGCCTCAGGCCTTCGATCGACACATCCTCAACGTTGTCTTTCCGCCAAGGTATCGACCACCAACCAACATCCCGAAGTACTATGGGGAAATGAACCCCGGACTATGGCTCGAGGATTATTGGCTTGCCTGCCAAGCCGGTGGTACGGATAATGATGATTTCATTATCCACAACCTTCCATTGTTCTTGGTTGATTCGGCATGAACATGGTTGGAACACCTACCGTCCAATAGAATCCATGGTTGGGCGGACCTGAAGGAGACCTTCGTGGGAAACTTCCAGGGCACATACAAAGCGCCCTGAGAACCCATGGGACCTCAAGAACTACCGATAGAAGGCTAGAAAACCCTCCGTGGGTACATCCGACGCTTCTCCCGGCAGTGCAACAAGCTGCCTAACGTCGCTGACGCTGACGTTATAGGAGCTTTCCTATCCGGGACCACCTGCGAGTCTCTAGTTCATAAGCTGGGACGCAAGGGTCCATGAACCACCAAGGAACTCCTTGACATCACCACCAGCCACGCCTCGGGCGAAGAAGCGGTCGGAACGATCTTCGATCGCCTCAATGGCAAGGCAAGGTGGGACGAGGACGCTGGCGAAGGCACCTCTAACCGTCTTGGTAACAAGAAGAACAAGAAGCAACAGCACGAAGGCTCTCTCATGGTCACCACTGACCGTAGGGGTGGTCGGACCCCCGCGGAGGGCACTCCGAACCACTTCGAAAAACTACTCGAGGGGCCATGCCCAAACCATGCCTTCCCCATCAAGCATCTTGTCCGGAGGCTCCAACAAAGGGGAGCATGGGAAGGACCCCGACCCTACCACGGATGACGCCGAGGGGAAGGATGACGGCTTTCCAACACCAAATGGTTGCCTTATGATCTTCGGAGGATCAGAGGCCTACGACTCCAAGCGCCGTATGAAGATCACGCGCCGTGAGGTCTATGCGACCGAACCGGGCATGCCTGCCTTCCTTCGGTGGTTAGAGTCCGCTATAACCTTCGATCGAACCAACCACCCAGAGAGCATCCTACAACCAGGGAGATACCCGCTCGTGGTTGACCCAATCGTCGGCACAAAGTGGCTCACCAAAGTACTGATGGATGGAGGCAGCGGCCTCAACATCATGTACACCGAGACGCTCGACCCTATGGGCTGACCGAGCACACATCCGGCCAACTGGAGCACCCTTTCATGGCATCATGCCTGGAAAGTAGGCCATGCTGCTTGGGCAGATTGATCTGCCCGTCACCTTCGGGGGTCCATCCAACTACAGGATGGAGACCCTCGCTTTCGAAGTGGTGGGGTTCCATGGAACTTACCATGCCATCCTGGGACGACCATGCTACGCGAAGTTCATGGTCATCCCCAACTACACCTACCTCAAGCTAAAGATGTTGGGCCTAGGAGGGGTCATCACCGTCGGCACCTCCTTTCAGCGTGCCTACGAGTGCGAAGTCAAGTGTTGTGATCACGCCGCAGCGATCGTAGCCTCTGGAGAACTCGTGGCCCTCAGGTAGGAGGTCACCGAAGAGGCACCCGACCCCAAGCGGTCAATCGGATCCTTCGAGCCAGCAGAAGGCTCTAAGGAGGTCCTCATAGACCCCGGGAGCATCGAGGGCAAAATAGTGCGCATTGGTACCACGCTTTCCTCCGAATAGGAAAGCGCGCTCATCGGCTTCCTCCGCACCAATAGAGACATCTTTGCATGGAAACCCTCAGACATGCCAGGCATTCCGAGGGAAGTCACCGAGCATGCCTTGAAGATCCGCCTAGGCTCCAAGCTGGTGAAACAACGCCTGCGTCGCTTCGACAAGGGG